TGGAGTTTTTGATAGCTTTGAGTGTTTGGGGATACTTTGGAATTTCCTTTACCTATGAATAAAGCACCAAGAAGAAGTCTTTATATTCACTACTACTAGCTAGGGGCATACCCTCCATTAAAGGCACTTGCTTCTTCTGTTCCCAGCCTTCACACATGCAGATATCAGAGTACTATAGGTGAGCCTCACAGGGGTTAATCCTAACTCCAAAATTTCATCATGCACAGGCAAGGCATCTTGAGGACAGCCAGCACTTATATATCCCTGAAAGTTCAAAGAGAAAGATGTTTAAAATGATAACAAATACTAGATATTTGTTTCTCAATGGAATGCCATAAGACCCAAAAGTACAGATCAGTGCTCAACCTTCATTAATAAGTTATATACCAAAATGGAAGGATTGCAGCTTTCATGAAGCAAATAACCATAGCGGGCTAGAAGACCCTTAGCTCGGCGTATATCTCCTGCACTACAGCAGTGCAAATGCAGCAATATAAATAAGCTCATGATTTTCAAAATATCAATAATAAAAAAAAATCCATGCTTGTAGTGAGACCACAATAAGTAAATAGATTTACTAATACAAGCAACGAAAAGGCAATTTGTCCAAGATATTTCAAATTTGGGCTCGATGTCCTATCATGAAATGGTAATCCTAATCGAACACAATCCAATCTATCCAGTTTATCAAGAAAAGCTCTTAACAGTTTCAAGTGCTACCACTAAAGAACCTGGAAACAAAACAAAGCCCATAACTTCATCTCTTATTTTACAAACCTGCTGAAATTAGAGCATTTAAGAGACCAAATATCATCGGAGCCGACAACTTTGGACTTCCAACAGGTGTACCCATTTCCACTGATTCCAGTATCTGAAATGCTTCATCAATTCTTCTAGCCACACCCAAACCCTATCGAACAATAATTAAAGTAATAGTCAAACTAATATGAAATCAAAAACAAAAGTTACGAAAACAGAACACCCCATTTCAAATTCAAGTACCTTCAACAGAGTCCCATAAGAGACACCATCAACCCCAGAACTTCCTGACTTGCACATTTCATCAAACACCTTAAGAGCAGACTCGGTATCCCCGCAATGCACACAAGCTTCCATCACCGCATTCATAACTATCGTATATAACTTCCCATACCTTCTCTTAGCACTCTCGACTTCCTCAAAAATCTGTTCCAATGGCCTTCTTCTAGTGAGCTGAACTTTTCGAAAGGTAAGGCGTTTAAGACTATGATGAGGCTTGTGAAACCTACGACGAGTGGGTGTAGAGGAATAAGAGAAGGTGATTTTGAAAGTGGGTAATGGGTTTGATGATGGGAACTTAGTAGAATGGAGGGAGAGAAGATGATTTTGCATGGAATTGCTGGTGATGGTAGTAGTGAAAAAACCCATTAATGATCAGCCATGGAAATGAAGGTGGAGCTTAGAGAGGGAGAGGAGAGGGAAAAACGGATAACGGATAATGTGTGGGCAAAGATGGAAATTGATGGCGGGTAAGTAAGTGGAGGACGCTAAAGTAAGAGAAAGTTTTTTGCTCCAGAAATCAAATTACGAACTTAAAACTTGTTGATACACTAAGTCAAATTTGGGGTTTTTTCTTTGTTGTAGAAACTAGTTTTGACTTGTTTTTAACATTAAGAGGGTGCATGAGCACTTTGACAGTGGAAACGTAGACAACAGAGAAAGTTATCTGTCCTCTTCATTTCCCCTGCTAATGCCAGGTGGTATGATTTCTTTAACATTTTAAATCTTCTGATTATACAATAGGGACAGATTGTATATTCTTCTTAATGGGCACTTGAAAGTCGTTCAAGACGTGAAGCAGTGAGTTCTATCAGCAAGGTATATTAGGATGTCATAAGCTCCCTATATATATATATATATATATATATATATAGTAAAGCCAACATTTAATTAAATTAAGTAAGTCCATGTAATCGATAGAAGACAAAAATAAATAGAGTTGTTGGTATAATTAAAAATGAATTATTGATATAATTAATAGAGTTGATATAATTAGTAAAGTATAAGTAAAGATGAGTTTTTATTATAATTTATAGCATAATTGGTGTCATAATTTATATATCATTTGTCTCATTATTTTTGTTTATAAATAGATAATGACTTTAAGCTTATTTTACACATCAAGATAAAAAGAAAAAGAAAAGGATAAAAATAGAGTAATCTCATAAAGTTGTGAGGTATTTGTGAGAGAGTAAATGAAGTGTTTTTTTCTAGTAATAAAAGGATTTTTAGTTGTTTTTTTATTATTTGAGAGAGGTTGTAATTTTCACATTATTTAGTAAAATCTTTTTATACTTGTCCATAAACATAGTCTAATTGGATGAATTATATATTTTATTTTTCATTTTATTATATTTCTTGTTTTTTGTTTTTACATGCATGCAAATATCCTAATACACACACACATATATATATATATATATATATATATATATATATATATATATATATATGTGTGTGTATTAGGATATTTGCATGCATGTAAAAACAAAAAACAAGAAATATAATAAAATGAAAAATAAAATATATAATTCATCCAATTAGACTATGTTTATGGACAAGTATAAAAAGAGTCAGTCTAGCTATACCTGGCTTTCTTTACGAACCCCTCTACGCTTGATAACAAGAGGTGTAAACGTGAATGACTAGACTGCGGTGCAAGTAACTTTGAACTCGGAAATCAGTCACCTTAATCCATAGTGTCGCTCAGTTTATAAAAGCACCAGATCATGCTAGCATGCATATGGCGCCAGATACAATAGTCAGTACGGAAAACTGAAGGCAGAATCACATTACAAGAGGCTAACATTGTTTTCATGGAGGTCATAGGCTTTCCTGTCAAGTCTGAGATTATTTACTGCTCATCCTATTGTTACAACAGCTGATTTTGGAATCCTTAGTTTATAGAGTGTGCTTTGTCGTCCTAGTTCTATCCTCCGTCTGTCTAAATACTTTAATTTGATTTACTTTAACAAATATCATTCTTATATATTTTTAATTAGAAATACTCTACATTGTATCACGACACACCATCAAATGTAATGCTCTCGGCCCGATAATAATGAATAAATACAAAAATTATATAAATATATATGATTAAAAGATAAAGATGGATATATAAAATAATGATAATGAGTTATGCGATTTGTGTTTTGCTTTATGCTAAATATTTTTATTTTTTATAAAACAAAATTATATAAGCATGTTTTTTAACACATTTATGTAGTTTAAAAAATTTAAGTACAAAACAAAAAGTTTATGTATACTTGTAATTAAATAAATAAAAAATTATGCATATTAATAGATAAATAAAAATTCATTAATGATATCTAAAATTAAAACTTGAGAAATCAAGAGACATATATAGATCAAGATATTTAATCTCGCAAGACATAATATTTACTTATTTATGCTTGCTACATTTTGTTTATTAAAACATTTTTTTTAAAAAAAATACTTAAAAAAAGATATCAATAAAAAAAATTTAGAAGAAAACAAATAATAGCTCAGGAGTTTGACTTAACTTATCAAACTTGCTATTTAGATCATGAATTCAACTGAAATAATTCTTTTATCTTAAACTTATACTTAATCTACATGCGTGCACGCATTAAAAAAAATAAAGCCAAAAAAGAGGCCAAGCATTGGGCTTATGGCCTAGCACACCTAGATCGTTAAGAAAAATCTTTAGCACATGGATAAGCATTCAAACTCAAGCTTGTGTATTCTGGAATTAATTTTATTTTTAAAAGGGAGGATGTTCACCTTTTTTTTATTGTAAAAAATTATACAAATGACATGTCACATGTCAAAGCCAACAACGAGTTACCTTCGAGTCTACATTTTGATCATCATTATGGTAATTAGAAAATAAAAGCAAAACTATTTTTATTCAAAATCTTTAATTTTTAAGTGGTTCAACCTAGAAACATTTCAATAATATCATCGGAATAATCACATATCTATTCATCAACTCAAAATATCAAAAATTAAAATCTTCTCATTTAAGCCTCGTATGGTTGAATCATCAATGAACACTCTGTGCGGAATGGTCAGACATTCACATCAAACCTGTATGGGACAGCTTCAAATAAACTTTTTTTTCAATGTCCAAGCAATTTGATGTTGATGGGCTAAAGGATTGTAATCAATTGGTCCTTGATCGTCTGCAACAGTGTTCAAGCACGTGAGTTGAACATTTAAACTCTTTACTCCATGCAACTTCTTTCTCCTAGATATCTCATGGTGTCTGTGGTTGCCTTGCCCTTTCTTAGTGCCATCGTAGTACCTTTGCTTGTGTTTAATATATCAAGTTCTATACGGTTCTCATTCTCTTTTTTCCTCCAGCTGTAGACTGCTAATTTGGAATTGTTCTGTAATGTTTTGAATATAAAGGGATAGGAAAAGGCTAGAAACCTCCTGAAGCTTATACGTAGGAATAAATTAAATGAGGGTTATAGTAGTAATTGATTAAATACATGATAAATATAAATAAGTTAAAAAAAATAAAAAACGAGAGATCTGGAAATTTGAGGGAGAATCGGCAGGAAAGAGAAGAGAGAAAGAAGAAGAAGAGAAAAGAGAGAAATTAGAAGGAAAATAGAAAGAAGTTGAAGGAAATAAGTTTAAAGGTAAGATTATGTATAAATATGTGTTAATTAAGCTTTAATTTTGGTTTTGATAAATGTTAGGGTTTTGAAAATTTGTCTTTTGGGTTAATTGATGAATTAAGTTGAATGTTATGGGTTAATTGTTGTGGGTAATGGATTGTTAAGTTGAATTTGAGAGATTGTAGATAAAAATGATGATTTTGAGTTATGATTTTGTTTGAATGGTGAATTTGTGTTAGAAATCAGGGGATAACAGTAGGTAATCTGTGAAAATTCTGGGTTTGAGGTTGAAGATGATGAAAATTCAATGTGGTCCCTCAATTTTGGAAAATTACAGTTTAGTCCCCAAATTTTGGAAAATTTACAGATTGGTCCCTGGAGCCTATTCCGAGATTCTGAACAGAATAAAAGATAAATTATGGGCAGAATTCCTGTATAGTTATAAAATTTTAACACTTTCAATTTGGTCCTTCAATTTGACAAAAATTACCATTTAACCCTAAAAATTTGATAAAATTCCAGAATGGTCCCTAGAGTATAATGAGATGATCTGGACAGAAATGAGGATTGATTATGGTCAGAATTTCAGTATAGTCATGGATTTATGATAATTTTAGTTTGGTCCTCCAAATGGATAAAATTACAATTTGACCTTTAAAAATATGATAAATTATAGATTAGTCCCTAGCTGTAATATTAGCTTTTGCAGATGGGTTTGATGAATAATTGAGGGTTAGTTAGTGAAGTATTACCAATTTTATTATTTGTTTTATTATGGATTAAATTTTGAGAAAACCGTTAATTTTTGAGTTTTTTTGGAAAATAACTAGTTAGTTCAAAAACATATAGGGTTATGGAATACATCCTTAAATAAGTGTAATAAATATGTTATATATTCTTTTGAGTCATTCTTGAATATGTCTCCTTTATATTCAGATAATCTTGATATTCTACCAGCGGGATGTCAGTAGGATTTTCTTCGGTGTCTGCTTTTGACTTTTGTTGGCTTCGAGTCAAGTGAGTGGATAATTTTCTATATGCATGAGAAATATTATAAATATTTGATTTGTTAATATGAATTGGATCATGCTTCTTGATAATATATATGTTGACTATTATCCTTGTTATGATAAGCATGGTCATTTGTTGAATCCGAATTCTTGATATGAACCAGTATGTATTTTGGATTGACTTCTAAATTGATAGCTCCTTATTTGATTGATGTCATGAGTTGAGCCTTGAGATATTAATATGTCTATTTGACTATGATTATGAACCTATGGTATGTCAGTCAGAATATCCATGCTAACAGGGTAGTGTTAGTCTTTGTGCACATCGTATCTGAACCCTAGTTGGTCGGGGGAGTCACCAACCTGTGTGGACTGATCATCCCACAGTATGGAGCCTCATGCTCATTACATTTTGATTTTCTGATGAATTTTACCATATAATATTCTTGTTATGGCCTATTTGAGAAACCTTTTTATAAGAACCTAAAGCCATACTTGTATATATATTTCTCATTGTTGTACCATCTCGTGTGTGTATATTGAACGTTATCTACTCACTGAGTTGTTGAACTCACACTCTCATTATTTATCATTTTCAGGTTTATAGCATGATAGCAAATCACTTTTGTTGGACCTTCAGAACTTGCTCTTTTGGTTGTAATCCGTACATGTTCCTTTATGTTTAATTAGTGCTCCAAACTATGAAATTATATTAATTCTTGTATTAAAATAATTCAATTATATTATGAAGTTGATTTTATTATTCATGCTGTGTTGAACTCTGATTGAGTTAAGATAAATTTGTGAACTCTGATTGAGTTAGGATAAATTTGTGTGTAAGTTTGGGTTCGCATAGGTATGGAATCTTGAAAGGGAACCTTGACTATGTGCCGGTTATGAATCCGGGATTCGGGTCGTGACATGTTTCTTGTTTCATTGGAGTTCTATTTGTTTAAAACATCACTCTGCCCCATGTCATGGACATATGCTCTTTTTCTGTTTTAATCTGTTGCTACTGAACTTGTTTTTAGTTTTTTGGGCAGTCCATTAATTTTTTTCTTTTGGTTGTGTGTCCTGACTGCTATGGACAATTAAGTTTTGCAGCGTTGCTTGGAATAGGTAGCCATGTTTTGCAAACACTATTCTGACTGCTATGAAATTTTAATCTGCTAATACTGAACTTACGTTTAGTTCCTTTACGAATGTTGAGAGGGGTTCTTGGTTGCAGTGGACAGGAAAAAGGGATGCACATGGATGAACTTTGCCAACAGCTGAAACTTCCCATGGAGAAGATCAAGTAACCTCTCTCTCTATCTCCTCTTCTCACCCTACATTATCAAGTAATTCCTTTTATCGACGTTTTCTTTTGTCTTGGCCAGGGAATCTATTAGATCACTTGAAGATGGAGGTTTAATATACTCTACAGTTGACGAGTTTCAACTACAGTGCAACCTGATGAAGTTCACAGTATTTTTGAATGCTACCCAGCCTGCAATGCTGTTGCGAGTTATTTTGTTCCTTCTTTTGAATATTAACAGAACAGCCTGTAGATATTTATTTGTTTCCATGTTAACATCTTAAGTGCAGGGATCTGGACATGTGTGTTATCGCTAAATCATATATAGAATTTCACAACATTTTGATGTTTTGTTTAGATTCCTAAATGACGTGCTGCTTGGAACTCTAAAAGAACAAAGATTATGGTCTGATCGATTTTTTAAAGCGAAGAAAGTTCTAGTTGAGTGCAGTCGAATCAAAGGATCGATTTGGAGTTTTTGATACCTGGAGTGTTTGGGACAGTTTGGAATTTATTTTACCTGAGTAAAGCGCATCGAAATCTCCTTGATCATATAGTTAGGGGGGGTTCCATATTCACTACTACTAGGCATGCATTTTGCTTCTTTTGATTTGTTGCAGTGAACGGATAATGAAGCACCCTATGCATGCCGAAGCCCCCATGAAAAAGAGAAGAGCCATGATTTATAGCTTTGGTGGCCTATCCTTTAACTAAAGGCATTAGCGCCGTACTAAACATCTTAATATTATCCTAAACATAATTGAAAGTTAATTATGGCTGGATATAATAGCAATGTACGTTTTGAAAGATTGTGGCTTCCCTACGTGAAACATCTCGATTCTAATATTTGAACCTAGAAAATGATTAAACTTCATTAACCAACCCTTTAACGCTCCTATGCCATTAATATATTGAACTTGTTTCTAGCTAAAGCTTTATGATTTTTGAGCAGTCCATGAAATGACGAGCAGCCCTGAACTCCAAAAGAACAAATGAAGGTTCTTGTAATGATTGATTTTTTTAAAGCAAAGAAAGGAACTCGTAGCCAATGAAGAGATTGATTTGGAGTTTTTGATAGCTTTGAGTGTTTGGGGATA